GCGGGAGGGGAGCATCGCCCCAGCCGCTCCGGGGGCGAGACCTCGCTGGACTTGACCCTCATCCTCATCATCGCCCTGGGCTCGGTGTCTTTCATTTTCCTGCTGGCCATGATCGTGCTGGCCCTGCCCTGCCAGAAGGAGAAGAAGCTCAACATCTACACCTGCCTGGCCAGCGACTGCTGGCAGGGCTGCTGCTGCTGCTGCCCCTGCTGCAGCCGCCAAGCCCGGGCCCGCAAGAAGAAGCTCAGCAAGTCGGATATCATGCTGGTGCAGAGCTCCAACGTCCCCAGTAACCCGGCCCAGGTCCCGGTGGAGGAATCGCCCTGCCCTGCCAGAAGGAGAAGAAGCTCAACATCTACACCTGCCTGGCCAGCGACTGCTGGCAGGGCTGCTGCTGCTGCTGCCCCTGCTGCAGCCGCCAAGCCCGGGCCCGCAAGAAGAAGCTCAGCAAGTCGGATATCATGCTGGTGCAGAGCTCCAACGTCCCCAGTAACCCGGCCCAGGTCCCGGTGGAGGAATCGGGCAGCTTCGGATCCCACCATCACAACCAGAACTACTGCTACCAGGTCTGCCTCACTCCGGAGTCAGCCAAGACCGACCTGATGTTCCTCAAGCCCTGCAGCCCCTCCCGGAGCACTGACACGGAGCACAACCCCTGTGGGGCCATAGTGACGGGTTACACGGACCAGCAGCCTGACATCATCTCCAATGGCAGCATATTGTCTAACGAGGTAAGGGTCAAAGGGAATTGTAACACTCTCCAACCCCTACATATTTGGCAAGCTTCCCTCTGCTGTGCACAGTTCATTGCAGGAGCATGCTTCCCTGGGCTGCTTTGCGTGTTTGTTATTATTTTACTGTGTTGACAGTGAAAAATGAGTTTGCTTTGATTTTCTTATGTACTCTGATGCTCCCGAGTCTCACTCTCCCCAGGGCTTGCAGGTCTCAACCACTTTTGATTCTCTCTCCTCTTGTCAGTGTCACTGTCAAACTGCACTGCAGTCTTTCCCCAACCTCATCTTTGCTTTCAATTAGTCTCTCGAAGCCTTTCCTCTCCCTGTCCTTTTCTGTGCCCCTTGCTTGTAAATAGCTTCTTATCCTCTTGCTTCTTTGGTCACAAATATATATGCATGTTTTTAATCACCTGTCAACAAGAAAGCCTGCCACTGAATAATAGTTTCAGCTGTGAAGTGCCTTAGAGTAAATGAGTGGCTTCTTTTTCATTTGAAGCATCAGTAGTGCACTGGTCAGCATTTCAGAAACTGTTGCATAGAGTCGCCCACGCCATGTGAATATGAATGAAACGTGCAATCTTTTCTGTATTCAAATGACATGATCATATAGTAGTTTCTAATCTTATTTGGATTGTGTGCTTTAAGTGACTATATATTCCATTTTCTGGGCACTGCTTCTAGCAAAAATGCAATTGGCATTTTAATGAAATGAAATTACATTCAATTTTTGTAATGCAAAAAAAAAAAAACCAAACAATAAAAGCATATATGTTAGTTTGTAGAAATTTTGCATGTACAATACTTCAAGGAAAACCCTCTGGAGTTTGTCAACATCTCTCTACTTGGCATACGCTGTACTTAATTAATATGAAAATTAGTGTTTTAATTGACTTTTTATGACTCTGTTTTAAAGGTTCTTTTGTATACTGAATCAGAATTTAAAAATAAGGCATCATGAAAAAGAATTTCCATGAAAACATATATCAAGGCTTAACATACCATCTATTAACCGTTTTGTCTGTAGTGTTTTAAGTAATGTGGGCACCAGTATATCTATGATGATGTACCACTGAAAGAAACAGCCATGTTCCTCAAATACTGATTTGCTGAGTACTTCAGGGCCAGTTAAGGTATTTTTTGAGTTATATATTGTTTAAAATTGTTTTTAATTATTTCATCAAGAATTTAAATGTTAGCTTTTAGTAGAGCTTTTACACCAAGGGGTATGCCAATTGACTTCAGTATAGTTATCTTACACTTGGTGTAAGATGCTATTCAGTATGTTTAAGGGGGGCTAGAAATTGTCCTTAAATGACTGAGAAAAATCTCTGTTTATTGATCTGTAGTCCCACTTGCCTGAGTAAGACCATGGCCTACCTATAGCTGTACCTCTGTGAGGAGAGTTCCTGGCTGTTCCTTCAGATTTTTTTGGTGGTAAATATATTGAGTTCAACTAAGTTCCAATTAATTTTTTCTAGACAAAACATCAGCGTGGAGAGCTCAGTTATCTAGTTGATAGACCTCGACGGGTAAACAGGTATGAACTCCTTATTCCTGTTTTCCTAATGTAGGAAAATATCTAAGATATATTTTGGCACGTATGAGTGGGGATATAGAAATGTGTTTGCTTGTCTATTATTTTTCATCTGAAGAAATCAAAATATATTTGACATTATGCATTTATTTAGGTATACAATTAAGTAAAATAAGCAGTGACAAGTGAACATCTCTGATTTATGGCTTTTGTGAATCTTTTTAAGCTGTCTGAGAGCAAATTCTAATTCTGTACTCAACTAAAATGTGCTTTAAATACTTACGAGTCGGCCTGTAGGTTCTGACAAATAATATTGATTCATCTGAATATAAATTTAGCCTTCCAGTGTAAGCAAATGCTACCAGATTATTTATGACAACTGCATATAACACAGATAGTGTAATGATGGCTAATGTCTATTTCATTTGGATTAATAATGTCTGAAAATACAGGTTTTGTGTATGATGGACAGAGTGGTTCTGTAGAAACAGGGTTGCAAAGAGGAAGCCTGGATGCATGCAGCACCATGTGTGGCCATGTGATGGCAGAAGAATGTTTTATTAGTCCCTTTTCATGTTTATTCTAATAAGATTTTTGATGTTTCTAGTTCTGCATTCCAGGAAGCAGACATAGTAAGCTCTAAGGACAGTGGTCATGGAGACAGCGAACAAGGAGACAGTGATCATGATGCCACTAATCGAGGTCAATCCTCTGGTAAGTCTGATAAGGGAATCTAAATATTTGATCTTTTACTAAGGGAGCCAGATAGGGCAATTATGTGGTTATAAATAATATAACATAAGTGTTTATAGTTATAGCATATGTATATAATGCATGGATGAATGAATTTACGGTCAACTTGATGGTATACTGAGACAGCAAAGAGATTATTTCCCAAACCTGACTGGCTTTTGAGAAGTATAGCTGTTTTCTGTATGTTGGTCTGTATCCTTGGCTCTTCTGGCACATTAAAGCAAAGTTGTTGGTATATTTTTGTAGCAGACCTCAAATTTTTTCAACAGTCAATTTGAGGAATTTCAGAGCATTAGGCGACTTTGTTTAGCTGTGACTTTAGCAGGCATGGTAGTGTGAAGCATACTGGGAGTTCCCTAGAGAAAGACTGTACTCTGAATGATAGACAGATTGAGAGGATTTTTGCTGGAGACTAGTGGAGACACACAGAGTGCTTTGAATATGTAATGTCTTACACTTCCACACTTTCTGGAGCTTGTTTTGAAATTCAAGTAAAGGGACTATACAATAGAGTGATGTCCTTGTTAATGAGTATAAATTATACAGTGGCCATCCCTTCAGTCCTAATGAAAAAGAACATGGATACAAATACTATGATTTAAAACAGATGGATGTGTTTAAACAGTGGAATTATTTCTGCCTGTATCTTTTTCTCTCTGCTTCCATATTAGTGTAAATTATTTTTGAAAGATTCAATGTGTATTTGGCTGTAACGCACGTGCATGCATATGTGTGCAGGGCTGGCCCTACCATGAGGCGAACTGAGGGGGCTGCCTCAGGTGCCAGGCTGCAGGGGGCACCACTAGGATCCAGAGTGTAGAAAATTGTGTCTGCTGCTGGTGCATATGTGGGTAGCAGAGCAGTACCATGAGAGGAGTAGAACAGGCAGAAGGCAGAATTGAGACCTTTCAAAGTTTTGGCCCACACGAGGGGCCATGGGGGCATCGAGCTCCCCGCCTCAGGTGCCAAAATGTTGTGGGCTGGCCCTGCATGCGCGTGCACACACCTCTACAGAGCACACTTCAGCTAATAATTCTGGTGAATACAAAAACTAGTGGGGTGGGAACCTTTGATTAGTGGTAACTTTTTTTTTCCTTCTGCAGCCCATAAAAGGCCCAGGCATTTGCTGCAAGTGTTTTATGGAAGGTGATGCCCCATTCCCTTACTTGCCTAATCTTATTCCCTTCTCACTGGCATCAGACTAGCATTCCTTGAAGCATCAGAGGGAAAGGCGGGTCATTTCCCCATCTTGCCCAGGAGTTGGTGCTGCTACAGTCTCTTGCTCTGCTAACATGCTGTGTCTTCTCATGCTCCTGCCACTGTCTCCTTTGCCATGGGAAACCCAGGCACCAGGGGAAAAAAGGCCACTCAAGGGCCTCTTTATATTGCTGCAAGTCATTAATATGCAGACCTAATGAGACTTGAGAAGAGCCAAGAGTCTCCGGAGCTCCCTGCTCCTTGCTGGGCTTCCCGCTAGTTGAACAGAGTGTCTATTTTGTGTCTGGGAACCTGACAACAAACCAGTTCTTGCCAGAAGTTTACATCTGAACACAGAGCCCCCTTTCATTTTTGGCCTACATATGGCGTATGATTTATTGTTGTCTTAAAAAGCAGTTCACCCCCACCCGTTCTTTCACACAGTTTCTGATGCAGCAGCAGTCAGTGCTAGATTTATAAAAAGCTCTCATTCCTCCCTCTGTGGTTTTTTTTTTTTAAACTTAGCTGTGTTTCAGGGTTTTTTTAAAACATGTTTTACTGCAGCACTCATCTCAATGAACATTTCAATCAGTTTAGTCCCTCAACATAATGAACCATAATAACTAAACAGGAGAGAAAAGAATAATCAGCTGCATAAGGAGCTGTATTTGAAAGACTGATGGTGGGAATATAATCATATAGTTGCACATCAGTCTAAAACCTATTTTATTTTAGAAGCATCCAGTGCTGTTCCTGTAGTTATGTTTTTACTTTCCCCATCCCCTCCTCTTTTTAGAAGTAATATAATTCAGACATGAACATTGGAACCCTTCTCAAACTTGGCACCAGTTTTCAGATTCAGCCAATTCTTTTTGTTGTTTTTGTTTTGCAAGTGAAGAAATACATCTATTTTGCTCTTTTAAAGACATTTAATTTATTTAAAATAATGATTTATGATCTCATGTAATTAAAATAGGGATTTGCTATGAACAAATGAAATTAGAAAATAAGCTTTCTGTCTAATCAGAGTTTGTAATACTAACTGAAAAGACAAAAATTAAATATCCAATTTTAATAAACTGCTATAGTGCAATTAAGGTAATTATTTTATATAAGGATTTTTACAAAGCACAATGTAAATATGTATTTACAAGATATACTGGAAACATCTACAGGGTATTTTGGGTCTATGGGATGCTTGTAGTAACATGTTATATAAACCGTGGGATGAATCTTGTCATTACACAGACATCCGCACCAGCGATGATACAGAGAAGAAGTTCAGAATTAAACTTTTATTCATACACTTTCGGTATTTCTTAATTAATTATATGAAAGGATAGGAAGTACATCTTGTTTGAATTTCAATGTCTTGAGGGACTATGATGTCTGAGGGCATTGCTTCTCAATTAATTTTAAATGCAGTTCTTCGATATTCAATTCCTTTCAGATTAGCAGAGAAAAATACATTGGTCCATAGTAAGAGTAGCAAAAACAAAAACATAATGATAAGCAGTGAAAAATTATATGGGTATTAAAGTGAAGCCCAACTCTTACGCTTTTTCTTTCCTGTCTTTCTGCTTCTGAGCTATTACCTACTATACTTCCTCTTCATTTGTCCTTTTTTCTCCTCTAGTTATATATTTGGTTCTTTTTTCTTTCTTCTTTTTCTCCTTTCTTTATATATATTTTTTCTTTCTCATCATCTTTTAGGATAGTCTTTCTCTCTTAGAACCTGTCACAAAATAGCATCATATTCATGTCCAGAAATACTTGATAAATGGTTTTTACGGCAAAATGTGATACACTCCTAGTCATATTCACACTGCAGATGGCTTTGCCTGGAAAGGCATTTTGCACTTCATTTTACACACTGTGTAACTGCTCCTTTTGTCATCAGTTTATCCTGTAGTAGTCCAGTGCCTGGTCAAAATGACTGTGGTTATGCAGAATGTGAGTCTTTCACTGTATGATTCATCCATTGTGCACATTTGCTTGGAGAATATTTGCTGAAATATTATGGGCCACTGTTAGTGTAAACTGCAGCTCCAGTGACTGAAACAATCTTTTATAAATCATGATTTCTTACTATTGATTAAATTGGGTGCATGTGAAAGGTACTTGATTCTGTCTTATATATGCCCCCCCACTCCAAGTACTATAGCATCTTGGATACATTTATCTTCTCAAGACCCCTGTGAGGTACAGAAATACTGTTAGTCGTACTTCACAGATAGGGAATTGAGGCACAGGATGACCAGTAGAGGAGTTTTCAAGAGCACTTAGGCATCTGACTCCCATTGAAATCACTGGGGGTACATCTACATAGCAGTATTGGTACATCCACACTGCATGGCTATTTTGAAATAGCTATTTTGTAATAACTGTTCCAGAACAGCTTTATTTTGAAATAGCACATCTATACTGCAGAGATGCCTCAAAATTAGTCTGAGGCAGGCTTTCCTAATGTAGATATGCTATCTCGATTTAAAGCCCCAGGAGGCCCTGGGGAGGAATAACTTAGAATAGCCCTGGTGAGAGGCTATTTTGAAATAGCAGCAGTGGAGCAACTACACACATCTTATTTCAAAGCAGCTATTTCAGAATAGGAATTATTCCTCGTAGAATGAGGTTTACAGATTTCGAACTAAGCCGTCGGTTAATTTGCAATTATTCTGAAGTAACAAAATGGCTGTGTAGACGCTCACATTGTTATTTTGAAATAATTCTAGTTATCTAGAAATAACAGGGCAGTGTAGCCGCATCTTTAATTTTGAAATAACAAGTGTTATTTTGAAATAACTTAGTCCATATCTACATATCAAGTAGTTATTTCAAAATATAGTAGTGTCAAAATACTGTCAACCCAGAGGACTTCTTCCTCTGACTCCTGTAACCCTCATTGTATGAGGAGTAAGGGAAGTCAGAGGAAGAGTGCTCTATTTTGAAATACGTGCTGTGTAGACGCTTTCAATTTCGAAATAAGCTATTTTGAAATAAGCTATGCGATTGACGTACCTCAATTTGTGTAGCTTATTTCGAGCTAAGCCCTGCTATATAGATGCAATCTGGGAGTTAAGTGCCTAGATATTTTAGAAAAATCTTACTAGAAATTACTTTCCCAAGACCTTACAGGTAGTTTGTGGCAAATTAAGGAACAATTTCTCTTGAGACCCAGGCTGTGCCCTACCTATTGGACCATCTTTTCTCTCTGACTGCAAGTCTTGGAGAGAAAAGTTCTTATTTATCTGTAGAACAGATACTGCTAAAGCAGTGACAGTTCTAACTTCTCCATTTCAACCCTTAAATATGCATCAATCATATTCTAGAAAAATCTCTTCTAAGGATGAAATTAATTTATTCTTAACACCTAATTACATTCTTGGCCTCTATTTTAAGATTAACAACATAAATGGCAATTGCTGCTCTTTTATACATATAAAATATATAAAACACATATGTGTGTGTGTGTGTTTACATTTTACAAGACACTTGGCCACAAGGACTTGGACTAATGCTGCCAGTTCATTTCATATAGCTGATCACCAACTAAACATCTGACGATAATGACTTTTGAAAACTAGATTTTTGCTCCAAATTCAGTATATTATTATTTTACATCACACATTTTTTGAATTAATTTTGTAATATAATTAGGCAGGTATATTTTCAGGTAGAGATATATAAGAAAATTTAGTAGATATAATAATACTCCCACGTTTTTCCATTAGCAAGTACACTAATACTGTGTTGATCTAACTCTATTGATTTAATAATTCCACCTCCACAAGAGACATCGTGCTTAAGTCAATGTAGTGGGCAAGTTACATTGGAGGAGTTACATTTTAGTATAGATGTTTACAGAGTTAGATCAATGTAAGATGCCTTCCATCGACCTAACTATATCTCAGACCAGGCCTGTATCTGTAGGAATCTGGACATTACAATTACATCTGGTGAGTTTCCAGGGATTTAAGGTGTGTGTTGTGCCATTCCATGCCCTCTTGTCAAATGATTTGTGCACCAGCTTGAACACCAGTTAGCAGAACCAATGTGTTTATTCTGTGGGATGCAGGAAGAGCACAATATTGTAACTGGTATGGGGGAAACAGATTGAGAAACCATGAGAAAAAATTACTGTGGTGAAGGGGTAATATATAATATAGCAATTAAATCCTATTCTGAAGATCATTTGGGAAAAAAACGAGGGTGAACATAAAGTGGTGTAGTAAAGTGCTTTGACTTTAGCTGTGTGGGTTTCTTTTTTCTTTTGGATGATGGGAGAAGGTTGAATCCTTAATGATGTTTGCATCTCAGTCATTCAGATTATGATTAGAAGTTAATATTTAGACGAACTGAATGTTGGGGATGTTTATGTCTTTACTCATGCTGTTGTGAGGAAGGAGACAGTTTTATGCAGGGCAATACATCAACTGGCTTGTGAAGGCAATATACATAACAGAAGAAATTGCTAACATGCTTGCATTAATAATAAAAATGATGCTATAGAAAATAACACATCTTGAAAAAAGGGAGTTGCTTTGTTAACACTTAATGGTGTAATCAAATAGCAAATACTAATAAACACCAATAACATGTTTGAATATAGCTTGTCATAATTCTGGAGATTTGGCATGTGGATAATTTTTCTTTAATTCCTTTACAATATTTAAAAAATGAATTTCAAAAATTGCCAAAATATCTCTTTGATCTAAAGAGAGCTTTTCATCCCAACTAGTATACATATTCATGGAAACATTTAGTTTTGTCTTTTTCACGTTGAGATAAAAGGAATACTTTAGAGAATCAATTGCATTAAGAATCTGATCCAAACTAACCAAATTCAGGGAGGAGAGTTAGTGTTAAAAAGCTACCCTCCATCCCTATCTCCTTTGGCTATCCTAAATATGTCAGGCTATGTGGCATGTGAAATTGTTCACTGTCCAGTGACCTATCCAATAACTGTATTACAGGGTAAGGAATGATCTCTTGGTCTTTCTTCCTGCATTATATTGCAGTGTTTATCACATAATGTTATTTGAGAACTTTGTGCCAGATATTTATATTCTTTTGATACAGACATTGAATTTATTCTCACCTTTAAAATATCAGTTTATCTGGGATATAAGACTTTATATTTTTCAATTCAATTATAGTATGAAATATTTCTTCACTGTGGTTTTGCAATTATGATGAATAGTTTAGTCCAGGAAGACTGTATATCAGGCAAGATATATGAAGGCGATACAATGGAAGTGTTATATTGCCTGAACATTTATTTTTGTTATAAATCAAACATATTGTCTTTGCTTTATAAAGGAGTCCTATGCCAGATTATATTTATTTTTCTCTCTGTGATACCGCTTTCTTTCTGCAAAACAGAAAAATTGACAATCATTTTCATTTCTCTATTAGTTTGCACATCGAATACTTTCTGTTAGAAACTTTTTTGGAAAATCTTATCCTATTATACCATAATTAAAAAAGGATGAATAGTTTGCTACTATATCATAGTTAATAAAATGGAATGTAGGTACCCAGGAGATATAAAAACTGGAGTGCTAACTTGAATGTATTGTTCTGTAAATATATTGATATCTAAGGGTATGATTCTGTACCCATTAAAATCTGTGGGAATGTAATAAATGAGAAGTAGGAGCAGTCCTCCCTGGACACTTCCTCTTCCAGCCATACTCTTATATACACACTTGAATATTGGCTCTCCCTTCCAGTAGTGGACATAAGTAGGTAGATTTTTATTCTTAAGTCATCTTTTGGTACTTTGTCTTTTCTTGAAGAAAAACAGACTTGGTGCATACAATATACATTTCAGATTCCCCTGTTTTCATTTCTTAAAATGTTGATTTGTAGGGATATAACATCATTTTCCAGTTCTATAATAAATTGTTACATAAATTTGTTCAATGTTGGCAAGCAAAATCAAAGAAAACTAAACAAGTAATTAGTAGATAGACAGACTTTTCCTGTTTATGAACTGATATAAAACCAAAATGGTAATATAACAGGTAATTTTCCTGGAGAAAAATAAATCCAGGGAGAAGAAAATAAAGATCTGCCCTTGAATAAATATCTAAAGTTGTCTCTTCCCATTGGCAAAACAAATAAACAAACAATAACAGTTCAGTCCAGCTTTTTGTTTCCCTTCCCATCACTGTTCTGTTTCAGGATTAATGAATTGAATGAATTTATTGACTGAGGTAATATTTGTGAACATTTTCTTGCAAAATATATGGATATTAATTACTTTTGACTTATATTAGGAAATCCTGAAAACTGACTATATCAATTTGAATTAATTGTTCCTCTACCTTCTGAGTTGCAAAAGTTCTTAAAATATGAAGTATACCTTACTCTGCATAGAAAAAAAATCTTGGAATTTTTCTAATGCTAGTTTTAGTAGTGATGGTGTATGGCCACCTCTTTGTAGAAAGTACATAGGCAAATCTTTCTTTCTCTGTTTTATTTATCTGTTTTTATAGTAGACGCTACCATTATGATATCAAGAACTAAACTAACCAATTACCTCATGGACAATTTGTATGTCTTGCATGCTTTTCCCTGTCTATTTCCTTAATTCCAACTGCAGTTCACGTTTGCATTCTTCAACAGCTCACTGATCAGTAATTTATTTCCAGACTTCTGCTTACCAATTATCAATGGGAAGTTATAATCGTAGCTGGACTTAGTATCATACATGGCTTAATGTAAAATAAAAAAGTCATTATAAAGAGAAATTAATCTGTAATAAAAACTTGCTTCTTCTGCTGCTGCTCTTTTTTATCATTTATCTAAATGATTGCCCTCCATTCTCAAGCATTTCTTGGTAACTCAAAGGGGATTCTTATTTGCTGAAAAATTGTTTTCCATAGTGAGAGATAATACATAACTATTACTAATATAAATCAAATTGAAATGCAGAACTGTGGCAGAATTTTAAATACTAATCCTTACCCAAAAGATCAAGCTAATCAAGTTCTTTATGGTGTAGACTGTTGAATAAGCTACATTACATGAATCTTATTGTAGGTGTTCAGATTTTTTTCTTAGTTCTTTTTCAGTAAGTTATGACACTTTTTTGTAATTCTAATTCACTTGTTGTAAATGCAATATTTATAACTGATCTTGTTCATTTTTGACACATATATATTTATTCAAAAACATTCAGTGTACTCTACAAATAAAGGATAAATGCCTCGGATTGTGCTCTTTCTATATGCTGTTGATTATCAATCTGAGACAATAATATTTATTCAATTTTACTCGAAAGATTTCAGACACTACTCCTTCCTGAAGAAATTTAAGCCGACAATTTAAGGAATCAGAGACAGGAAATATGCCAGTCAGAAGGTAGTATGGAAGTATTGCTTGTCACTGAAATCTTAATAGCTTTGAAGGATTTGTAAACAGTTTTCAGTTGGTGGAGAAAAGGGTTTGCTGAGATGCTGAGCATTAGCACATTTGTCAATAGTATCTGCAGCCATATCACATCGGACTACAGTTACCTCCATGCCACTAATTACAGTAATTTACTATTGGACTCTTCCCAGTCACTAGAGTGACTTGGTTATGGTAAGGACTACTGTTGTGGCAACGATTACTAACTCTGAAGAATTAATGAAAAGGATGGACTTAGTAAATCATTTTTCTCGCACAAAGGATTGATATGTAACAGTCGCCAATTTTGTCAGAACTGCTTTTAGTAATTTAGTCAGTCTAATCACATTCATACATACGCAAAGAATTGCTTTATAGGAATCAATAGTATTTAGTTTTTAAAAGTGAATTCTGAGATTCCTTATTAATGAAATTCCATTCTTTTTGTAAGATCCATGTTCACCATTTTTTCACATTTGTACCTTACTAAGTATATCACCTGTAATTTGAATTAGTCTTATACCTCTATAGGTTCTAGGCAGTAAGGTCCACAAGAGATTCTGAGAAGTGAATCATCATCACACTTCTTCTCGTGATTGTTTTGCACATGGTGACATTCTGGCACTTCCTCTCTTTGTAACTGGTGGCATTGACTGGTGAAGACCAAAATGATCAGATCTTTTGTTGGTGAAATGAAGGCAGTGGAAAGAGTTCTAGAAAGATTTTCTCCTCCTATCTCTCTTTACCCACCATGTTCTTTCTCATCTGTCAGCAGCTTGTCAGGATGCTGAAGCTTATATCTACAGTTTCTTTCTCTTTCCTGCTTGCAGGCATGGATCTCTTCTCCAATTGCACAGAGGAATGTAAAGCGCTGGGCCACTCGGATCGGTGCTGGATGCCCTCTTTTGTCCCGTCCGATGGACGCCAGGCTGCAGATTATCGCAGCAATCTGCATGTGCCCGGTATGGACTCTGTTCCAGACACTGAAGTGTTTGAAACACCAGAAGCCCAGCCTGGGGCAGAGAGGTCCTTTTCCACCTTCGGCAAGGAGAAGGCCCTCCACAACACTCTGGAGAGGAAGGAGTTGGATGGACTGCTGACTAATACACGAGCGCCTTACAAACCACCATATTTGAGTAAGTACTATTCAGAAAGCTGCGTGAAAATGTTCCCTTTGAGGGAATAAATCTTAGCTCTCTATTATCCTTACTAAGAATAGAACACTCAGAGTATTGGAAGCAATGAGAAAAAATTACTCCTCTTGGATTCAGATACCACTAAAATAGCAATGTTGAATGTACATAAAAAAGGACAAGACTTTGTCCCATGATATTATGTCCCTGTTGCTAGCAGCAAAAACAACTTCTGTTTTTCTGAAGAGAATTTTTTTTCAAAGGTGGCTTGCATCACTTTCTGAAAAACATGCTTTATCACAGTAAACAGTTTTGAAGTACAAGGTGATGGCAAGCTTAGTTTTTCTTTACATTTTAACTGCTCCAGGTGCCTCAATTTCTTACTGAAACTGAGCTTTATCACTTCATTAAGTAGTGCTGGAATAATACCTACATGAGGCAGGATTTGCAGGGCAGCAGAGGAGTCTTCATATTTTTACACATTATTCTGATTATCTTTTACTTTTAGTCATCCTGTAAGATAGAAACGTGTATTCTACTCAATGCTGTCTGACTTATTCTGAATTCTTACCTGAATTCTGTCTTATTCTAAATCCTTACCTCTTTTATAGTCCTCATTGCAGTTGGGCAACAGAGAAGACAGTGTATAGATATAGAAAAGATAATTATGTGTTTTGGATTCTGAGCCAAAGAGTGTACACTAAAACCATACTTTGTTTAAGATGTTTACTGCTATATTTACTAGCCAATTGTATTTTGTTAAGGCATTACAAGATCTCCCTTGACTTGAAGAGTTTCTCATGCTCATTTAGTCTGCATTATGGGAGCCAAGGAAGGCTGCATTTTATCAATGGCCCTTCTTAGAGCAATAGCAGTCCCTTAGGACAATAGGTGAGCTGAGGAATGTTTCTCTAGAGGTGGCTTTTTATTTTATTTTCAAATTTCAGTTGAATTCAGTGGTTGTGAAAGGTGCTGCACTGAGACCCCTGGAAACTGAAGTCTTTCTCCAGAAAGGTTCAGCATGGACAGCAATCTTCTTTAAACTTCCTCAGCTCTGTCCTATTAGTGTCAGAATACCTTTCAAAGTGTGAGGATTTTTTCAGTCTTCTTTCCCATTCAGTCCTTGGATTTTGTGTTTAAAAAAACTAAGGCAAAGCTTGGGAAATTATTAATTTCATGATGTCCACATTCACTTATAAGGAACTGGCTTGAGGCAAGCAACTGATTTCACATAGGTCAAAAACCTGCCAAGAGCTAGCAATGTCTTCTATATTCCTCTGACAAAGGTCAGATTTGAACTGTTGACCTTGTGCTGAACTCTTATGCTCTTCATAACCATCAAGTCTTCTAAAAGTGTCATTTAGTATTAGGGCACATTCTAGTCATGAATTATTAATTCATCATCATAACTTCAACTAAAATATTTGTATTTTATAGCACTTTTCAGCCTCATTATGAACATGTTTCTGTTTTTGTTCAGTTTACATAAATTTCTTATAGTGAGCATTATTCATAACAATGCCAAATTGATGCTTCTGTTTAATTGTTCCATAATTTGGAGGTTGATTATAATTAAGTAAATGCCTTTTCTTGTTTAGTTTCTAAACTTGTGTGTAGTTAAATATAAACTATTTATTTTGCCATCCTGAAAGCAAATTGTCACATAGTTTATACTTTATTTTCCTCACAAACTATGACATGAGAATATAAAATAATTGAGGCAACATTGGAAGGAAGCCCAGTAATATTAGTGAGATGTATGTCATAAACTGGATTCAGCAAAATTAAATCTGGACTATGAAATTTACTGAACCTCCAAGAATAAACTTCAAAGAAATCTAAATTAATAATTCTATCTTCTGTTTTCCTATAGCTAATGCCTCTATTAGTACTATTTTAGATTTTAAAATGTATTGCAAATAATAGATCAAAGAAATAAAGTGAACCTAATTCTCTGTATAGCTGAGCAGATAATTCACAGTTAATAATTTATTCATTGAACAAGAAAAGAGAAGAGACTATTTTCAATGTAGTTTTAAGGAATGCACAAGAGATAGTTCCGGAAATAACTATAGTTGAGCCACTAAGTAATAGTGACCAAATATAATTGAGTTTACTATCCTCATGGGAGGAATTTCACCAAAAAGTGGCATGGTGATAATTAATTTTAGATAGGGTGATTTTTTAAAAAGAAGCTAGCTCAAAAGGTCCCTCAAGTTAGGAAAATAAAATCCTCAAGACTCACTGCTGTTGCTATTTAATCCCACCGTGCCAAAATTATAGCATGTATTTAAAATCCTTTAAAAAAGTGACAAGGTAAGAAAAAAGAAAACACATGTTAAATTGCAAGATAGAAGAGAGTTACTTGTGCTAAGTAGGCATCCATTAAAATACTTCAGTAAACGCAGTAGAAACAATGATAAGTTAAAACAGATAAACCATAACATTGAAATCAGAAGAGAAAAGGTCTTTTTTTTTTTAGCAAATAGCCAAAAACATAAAAACTAATACATTTTTGTTTGTTTCTTTGTTTTTTAGTATGTCAGAGGTAGGAAGCCTGTGAGAGAACAGGTAGGTCTGTTGATCTGTAATTATTGAGGGTACAGAGAAGCTAAACAGTGTATTTTCATTGATCTTGACAAAGAGAGTGTTAAGGAAGCTATCTATCCCAGACCATTTTTTTTTTCAAATAAACATGAGGAAAATGAGACTGGGGTGGAAAAGATGAGGTGCTGGAAGAAATAGATGCAGTAAAGAGAAACAGGTCATTAGCACCAGACAGTATTTATCAAGAATTTTGAAGAAAGTTTGGAATGTAATGGCAGAATTGATATAAAAAAAAATCAGCTACTATACTGGATTCTCAGCCAGCAAGCCAGAATCTTTAGCCAGGTGCTTTGAATACTAACCTGATCCTGAAGAAGTAATATGTGATGTAGTATGTTAATGTTTTATTTTAAGTCTGTCTTAATAAAAATACATTTTTAAAGACACTAAACATAGTCCTGAAAATTATGGACCAGTACTCCTCATTTTTTCAGGAGTACAGGATCTTTCAAAAAAGGGTTTTATTTTCAATCGATCCCCATCTAAACAGCCATTTTTCCTTGGAAAAGCCCCATTTAAAAAAAACCTGCGGCCGCTATTACACAAATGAAGCATGGGAAATTTAAGTCCCGGCTTCACTGCAGTTTTGAAGTGTCTAATTTACCTCCCTTTTTCGAGAAAAGAGATGTAATTTAAACACAGCCTATATGTGATATATATAGATATAGATATATGATATTATATATACGATATAATTTGTCTGAACTTTCAACAAGCTTTTGGCAAAGTTCCCCATATGAGGCTCTTAAAGGGTACAGCTACACAGCAACATTATTTCAAAATAACTTAATCCATGTCTACATAGCAGTCAGTTATTTCGAAATAATGTCATAATACTGTAAAGCTGGAGGACTTCTTACTCCGACTCCTGTAACCCTCTTTATACAAGGAGTAAGGGAAGTCAAAGGAAGTGTGCTCTGTTTTGAAATAAATTCTGTGTAGAAGCTCCCAATTTCAAAATAAGCTATTTCGAAATAAGCTATGCAATTGACGCAACTCAATGTATGTAACTTAGGGTATGTCTACACTACCCCCCTAGTTCGAACTAGGGGGGTAATGTATGCATACCGAACTTGCTAATGAAGCCCGGGATTTGAATTTTCCGGGCTTCATTAGCATAAAGCCGGCGCCGCCATTTTTAAAAGCCGGCTAGTGCGAACCCCGTGCCGCGCGGCTACACGCGGCACAGACTAGATAGTTCAGATTAGGCTTCCTAATCCGAACTATCTGTACACCTCGTTCAATGAATGAATTTTGTGCTAAGGCCTGCTGAGTAGATGCACCCAAAGTGTCTAAGCATAGTTACAGGGTGAGTGGTAAAATATTATCACACATATGAAACTATCTAAGGGCACATCTACACAGCAGGGCAAAAGTCGAATTAAGCTATGCAACTTGAGCTACGTCAATTGCGTAGCTTAACTTGAAATAGCTTAGTTTGGCTTTTGGCTCTGTCTACACACTCTTCCTTTGATTTCTCTTACTCCTCGTATAATGAGGGTTACAGGAATAAGAAGTCCTTCAGCTCACCATTGTTTCGAAATTATGCCTTGCACTGTAGACATGCTCTTTTTTATTTTGAAATAATGTCAGTTATTCTGAAATAACACTGCTGCCTAGACATAGCCTGAGTCAGAAAAATAGCAGGAATAATTGGATTGTTTTCAGCATCAGCAGAAGATTAACAATGGAGTTCCACAAAGGTCTGGACAGGGGCCCATATTGCTTGGTATTTTTAATAATTAGGAGGGAGGGAGGAAGGGAGCAAAATTTACAGATGACAGTATATTATTTTGGTAAATCCATGCTACAGTTCAGTGGTTCTGTGGTAAATGTAATCATGAGGGTATGCAAAGATCTCCCAATGGGTACATCAACTCATCCAAATATTTGCCTAGTTTTACAATAGGCTACATCAAATGCACTATCAAAGTTAGTTAGAAGTTAGGAACTAAAATTTCATACAGATAATGACTTGTTTATACTGATCTACATATTATACACTGAAATGTAAATACAGTATTTGTATTCCACGTGCTTTATTTTATAATTTTATGGTAAAAACGAGAAAGTAACAGTGTGCCTTTTTTGTATTTTTATCTCTGATTTTGTAAGCAAATAGTTTTTAAGTGAGATGAAACATGGAGTGTATAAGAAAATAGACTCCTGAAAGGGGTATGGTAGTCTGGAAAGGTTGAAAACGATGGTCCTACTGGATTATGAGGAACTTCAGAGGGATTTAGCAAAGCTAGGAGAATGTGAACATAATGCAGCTGGTCCCTGAGTTGTGAACAGTTGACTTACAACCATTCACAGTTACGACCGAAGCTGTTGTAAATGGCGGACCCCGAGTTACGAATGTGGTCCGCGCTTATGAACAGTGCGGTCACGTGTAA